ATATGCATATATGTTACATTTGACACACTGCAATTTAAATTTAGTAAATTATGCATAAATATTCATGACTGCCAACAATTAATAATTTTAACAATAAGCAAAATAATGGCAATAAATCACGATGTTAATAATTGCAACATATAAATGTACATATATATCATGCCTGCACAAAGTAATTGTATGAGGATCAGTATGACAGGAATAAGATATATTGTTCCCCAGGTATATGTACAGAGCCAACAGATCTAGATTGGGCAGCTTTTAAGTAAGCCAAAGTATCAAAGTTTTAATATTTCCTTCATATTCATAATTAAACTGATAAGATAGTGATGATTTGAGTACTATATGTATCTTACAGACAGATTCTCAAAGTGTGCAGATAATATTCCTTCAAAACTTCTTTCTTGTTTTATTTTCTAACTATGACTGGTCCAATTTGCATCATATGCTAAGATCATTTAAAGTGTTCCTAACCTGTCCAATTGATTATTAATAGGTGCTGTGGCATCTCGCAGTTAATTTAGTAATATTAACTGTGTTGGAGACACAGTATAGTCTAGTGATAGGACGCCGGGCCCGTGACCAAAGGGTTGTGGGTTCGAGTCACGTCCCGACACTGTGTTGTATTATCCTTATGCAAGATACTTTACTCAGCTTGTTCCAGTCTACTCAGCTGTAATTGAGTACGTGGTTGGGCAAAGCTAGAATTGTTGAATGCTAACTGTGAGCGTTGAAATGGCAGCACTGGCTGTATGTACCCCAGGGAGTTGAGAAAGATTTTGGCTTGTTGCAAAGTCCCTATAACTACGGATAATTATTTTTGAACCGCTTTGAAACGACCTACAAACTTGGTTGTGATAAAGCGGTATATTAAAGAACCTCAAATTATTATTATTATTTTTAATAATTATAATATCAAAACCAAACACATTGCTCCTGTCATTTGTTGGGTGATAGTTGGCATTTGAGATCACTTATCTGCCATCGTACAGGAAAGTTGGTGCATTGGCCTCCGGAAAGTTTATTGAGATATAATGTAATATACATGTATATATATATACATGTATTGAATTGTATTAAATTAACTGGACAATAGATACATGTGTATCATACTGTAAAAAGAACCTACTCAGTCAATTCTATCTAATCAATGTAAACATTCATAAAGTGAACTTTTAAACTTTTTAAGTAAAGACATTTAAACAATAAACAATGTCTGTTTATATAATTTAATACCAGTATTTACAAATGAACTTTTAAACTTTATATATGAAGAGAGACAGAAATAAATACAATGCAGGTGTGTTTATGTTAATACATGTACAACCATTTAATGCTGTGACGGGTGAGTTTATAGGTCAAAATTACTACAAAAACAGCTTGGTGTGTTTATTGGTTTAAAGTATTCTGAAGAGAATATTGCCCTCTTGATCAGAACAAAGATCACATTATTTTGTAATTCTACCCTGCACACAGTACTATCTCTATTTCTTGCATTCTGACATTAACATATATAAATATATTAACTGGTTTAATTAATCCTTCTCCTGTTTGACCTGGCACATTTTTTGATCGATTATTTTTGCATTGACATCAACTAGTTAATACTTTTGTAAGTTTTAATTCAGGTTACCGGTACTTCAGAAGTTACCGATTAAAAATGTAAGCAACATATACATATTGAATAAATTCCCAATTGCAAGCACTCAAGAGTAAAGGAAATATTCATATTTTTTTTTTAATAATTTCAAAAGGAAAAAAAAATTATCAAGCTAATGAGGTTTCTTGTCTGGAACCACGAACGTAAATTTGTGTGTAGACATATACGTATTAAGAGACTTAATACATAATACCGTCCAATACGTAATATCGGTACCCTAGACCACATAATTTGAAGCAGATTTTCACCTATATCGAATATATTGACACGTATTATTTTACGTTTGTAAGTCCACCTGTTGATTGAAATCTTATTGGCCAGAACTGACCACCCTTTGTGTCCGGATTACATCGAGCGGTCACCTCTAGTGCTACTTTACAATAGAAGTGGCACATGACCAAGCCGCAGCTTACAGCATAACTATAAAACAGAGGTTAAATCAGAACGTAGGCTGTTCTATCATGAGAATTTTATCATCGGTACAATACACCTTTACCCAAACACGGGCAAGAAACACTTTCAATCAATAAATATTTACTCAAAGGTTTTAAGAGGATTTATTTTGAAGTTACTAAAGTGGTGTGAGTTTTATCTGACTTTATGATTCATCCTTTTCAATACTGATAGCTTTATATACTTTAGTATCTTAAAATGGTGTGATATTGCTTGCAAACAAATATGGTAAAATACTAAGCAATGATTGAGTTTCTATTTATAGCTAATGAAAAGTTCTACAGCTACCTATAATCAATGTTAATAAGTTGTATTGTTTTTATCACCTTTCTGTGTAATAGAAATGGGGGGGGGGGGATTGCTAACTTGTAGGATTCAAACATATAACACTCCAATGGTAATAAGACCCCAAATAAAGGTATTCTTTCAAATTAACCTACCTTAATCATAATTGTTTGTGCCTATCTTAAATTTGTTTGGCAATTTTCAAGGAAGGACTGTTAAAGTTAAGGTCACTCGCCTAGATATAAACCTTATAGAAAAAATATTAGAAAATAAATTTTATTACCTACACCTAATTGTTCCTACCTTATTTTTTCAGAATTTTAACAGGAAAAATAATCATTTTTATGTTTGGCCAAAATGTAATGGTGATTTTCGTACTAATAAATCTAAGACATAAAAAACATGTATATACATATACGTGCAAAACTTCTCAAACATTTCTCACATACTAACTTTAACATACCTGATAACTCAACTTTTTATAGATCTGCTTTCAAAGATTACAACTTTGAATGACAAACAAAATTCCCAACCAAAAGCCAATGTATACCCTCTGATGTTTGAATTTCATGGCCTGGGATTGACATTTAAAGTTGACCTCTTTACATTAAACAGATGGTAAAGTCCAATGGACTTAAAAGTACATTTCATTAATCATCCGACCTCCTGACAGGGTGAAGATTCATTTTATGATTCCTCAGATTTTTAACAGGAAGAAATATTCGCCTTATCAATCGTATTGGTTACATGTTTATCTGTTATTGGTACCCTGGGACTGCCCTTAGACTGGTCATAATTCAACACTCCTAGGCTGGTTCCTTTTGTAGTACCACAAACCATTTCAGTGTTACTAAAGGGTTTAATTGATTATAATTGAATGATTGTATCACAGATAAAGGCAAAGCAAGTAACACTGTGCGAGAACCAACCCTTATCTTTACACAACCCTTGTGCCGTATGTTTGAACAGTATATCGGTGTATTCATTACTTGGAGTGGTCACCCCTTTCTTTGTTCACTCTTTGTACACATTTTAAACATAAATCTTCACTTGACACCATCTCATCTTACAAGGGTTCTGTCAAATACACTCTCAATTACAATGTTATCGTACAGGAACGACATTTACCACTTTAGATGTTGTTTAAGTTTTAAGGAAAAGTCAATGATTAAAATGTAAGAAAATTACCCACAATTGAATTTCTGAAGATTTCGCAGCTAGTCACAATGTAGGTGTAATTGAACCTTCTGTTCGTGCAATTGGTATAACAACCGACAAACCTGTACTACAATTCAAGGAATGTTTACCAAAGTTTCAAGTCAATAAAATGTCAGCAATTAGTTGAGCACATTTGAAAAGTTTCTTTTTCTACTTCATAAGTAATTTTAATCAGGAAACGGTAGAAGTCATATATAAACGTGTATAAACTTTAGTTGAAGTATGATCAGAGTAAAAAATAGATTTTCCTGTCACAATAGATCTAATATGATTCATACAGGAAACTAAAGGTACATTGTACCCTGGTATACATAACATTAACACTATAAGCTTATATCCATTTTCATAAAAATAATACCAGCTGTTAGTCGCACAGTTCAAGTCTGTATTTCTGTAATGTTGTATTACTATATTACCTGATAAAAACATAAATATTTTTGTCATTTCGCAACAAGTGACAATGTATAATGAATAGAAATATTTTCCCGGCCAACCTTTCAAATAAGCATTTGGATATTACTGTACTAGAATCTCTGAAGGCATAATGGTGGAAAGGAAACCACTTGCACTATGATAATGCAGTAGCTATTTATATACACAAGTATAGACTGCATTTATAATTTTTGTTCACATCAAAGTGTGTAAAAGAAATCCTCCAATGTATAACAGAGTATTATTCCATATCTCTATTTACAAAATAATCTAAAACCAGTCTTATCAAATCTAAACTAACTGTTTTGGATATTTTTATGGTAGGATATATATAAGTTAAGTTAAATTCCAGTACATGATTTGAACAATCGATTTCCTCACCGGACTCAAAATCATTTGTATAGTACATAATAACACTAATGATGTAAACAAAATGTACAATGTAATATAGACGGTTTCATATAGACAGATATATGTTCCGTTAAATTTTGATTAAAGTTCATATTAAAAGTTCGGCTGGATGTAATTATTGATCAAGTCTTGGTTTATATGCCGATGCAATGTACCTTATTAAAACAGTCATTGATATGTCAATGAAAAACCCTGCTAAAATACAAATTTAAAAAATGATAACCAGGAGGCTTATAAGCCATCGATAACTGTTCATGGAATACTGGCTAATATTGCAAATTAATTATAGGAACCAGTGTTAATTTGGACAAGTGTGTTGCAAATATATATACTTGTAATTAACAGATTAAGCACATGTGCAAGTGGTACATTGCCTGATTTCTTACTTAAGACTTTGTCTTTTACTGAAGTCAGCTTTCAAAGATAAATGTGGTCAAATCTCTGTATACTCAGTATAGCAACATGTAAAACAGCAAATGTATTGTTGCGTTTTCTAGTGTATAAGCCGAAAGCTTTTGAATAGCGGTTAGTAAATTCTTACCAGCTGTGTTATCCAATACTCCAACTCCTTCAATTCCAAACATTTGATTTTCACCATCAACATTTTGTTCGTTATCCTTCTGGTCTGCCTTTAAGTTTTTCTTACTATTTTTCTTTTTCTTTTTTGGGTTAGCGGTAGCCGGATTCACGTTTTTCTTCTGCATTTTTTCATTGTACGCAGATAACTTCTTCTGCGTTGATTTTGACACTGATTTAATATCCATTCTTAAGCCTTGTAAAACGCATATAACCCAACTTCACCAGCATGATATTAGCTGAAGATTCCATATCATTCTATAACACTCATTTCACACCATGCTGGAGCCTGCTGGTTGTTGACATAGCCGAACAACTGCCGACATGTAAACTAGTGGTCCGCGTTATAACGACAATGTAGTTCTAGTTATATATCGTATTCATCACAGAAAACGATTCTGATTTCATTCATTGTATTCAAGTCAATGTTTCAATCCGTTCTCATCCGAAAACTTATTCATAACACTGTGTTACATGATTTTTGATTTGATGTTAACAAACCGGAAGTACATGCGGAGGAATCTAACGTTTCTAAGTGTTGACGGATCGACTTCCGCCAAAATGACAACTCAGACTGATAATGAAGCGGTAAAATCAAACGACCCACATGACATCAATTTCAACACTGAACAATTTCAACTCATTGACGACGATGACGACGAATTGCTGTCACATTATATTTCAAAAAGTAAATTCATCCTTTTTTTCGTAACTAGTACTCGCTGTTACACCATATTTTCGTCAAGAGGGAGTGGGCGTGGTCAAATGCAGGTCCAGCTCAGTCAGCTAAATGTCGAGTTAGGCCACAGGGGTTCGTTACAAATGTCTGTTTATGTGTGTTGTGACCCTTATCAGTATATCATATGTGTTTTTCAGAGATTTGTAACGAACCCATGTGGTTAGGCCTAGTGCACAGGGACCATAGAAAATCGGAAAGTTTAGACTCAGTCAACCGAATAATGATACAAGGAGTTTAATTTATATCAGCACTTATTTTTTGTACAAATGCTCCACCATCTCACCCCAAATGATGGTATTTATTTAAATATGCATTTTCACCACTGACAGTTGATATTTTTCTGCTGTGACAACTCACTCTTTTGTCATTTCACACTTAATCGATCAATCAAATAGCAGGGTTGAGTGTAGAATAAATAACAAACCATGTGTAATGTCAATTTTGACATTACAAGCTAGACCTGAAAGTTTCTCCCCCTAATTACTGTAAACTCACATACAGTCGAATTCCTTGTCTTACTTTATTTATTAGTGGATAATTGAATATATGGTATTGGACTTTTTGATAATTATAAGGTTCACATATATCCATGACTTCATAAAGTAAGTGTAAAAACAAAACATTCAACACTTCTTGTACACACTCGTGAAAATATCAAAATACATGTATTCACCTGACTCATGATTGAAATATATAGTCTCATCATATGTAATATTTCTGAATTACTTTAGTCCATGATGTTAGAGAACACATATTTTACCGTTCATCTCTGTTGATACAGACAACAAGATGTTGAGATGATAAATGTATTTTACCAGTTTAAGGATCCCAGTACCACTGCCAAACACTGTAATGATAATAATAATTTGAGGTTCTTATGTACCGCATTATCACAACCTTATTCGTAGGTCGTCTCAAAGTGGTTCACAAATTATTATCTGTGGTCATTGGGCCTTTGCAACCATCAAATATCTTTCTCAACTACCAGCAGGGGAGCATAAAACCGGTGCTGCCATTTCGGCGCTCACAGCTAGCATTCAACAATTCTAGCACTGCCCAACCACATACTCATTTACAGCTGAGTAGAATGGAACAAGCGAAGTAAAGTATCTTGCTCAAATATACAATACAGTGACTTGACGCGACGCGAACCCGCAACCCTTCAGTCACAAGCCCGGCATCCTACCACTACTACCATGCCTCCTGTAGCTAAATGTTGGAAAGTTTTTTTCTGGCATGACTATAGCTTTAAAAAAATATTTCTGAAAAAAATCATACCTTGTTAGACTCTCATGAGAAATAATAAATATGAAATAAACAAAACATAATCAACAGAAAATTTCTGAGTGGAAAAAAGATCATCAGGGCTAGACTGGTGTTCCAATACTGGACTTTGGATTGTTATACTATCGCTTTAACCAACTGAGCTACCCAGGTCAACACAATTGTCCTGGCCCAACTGTGCTGTAGTTTTATTATATATCCAAACAGAGGTTAAAAAAGTATGGTGGGACAGGGATCCTTAAGTGCCTTAGTTTTATATTTGTTGCAATAATACTAAATTGTTTATTTTTAGTTGAAGAAATCACAGAAAAATGTATATCAGCCATCAATACAGTTGGTACAAGTGAGGATGCTGGATTGGCTGTCACCAATGCTGGGTTGGTATCGAGTCATTCAGCTACCAGCTCAAGTTCTACATGCTGTAAATCGAGATCTGAAGCAGAGTCTACAAGCCCCTTGATCAAAGGAGAAAATAGATGCTCCACCAATCCTCCGAGCAGTATTGACCATTCCAACAAAAAGACGGCTGGTCGTCCGGGCAGCAAAGATTCAACTGACACAGCATGTAAGCAGGTCAGTTCTGACCAAACAGGTATGGCAAGTTCCAAGGTGGGACAGACCGACAAAACAGACACATCCAGTTCTGTGGTCAGTACTAACAAAACAGAAAGACCCCGGGTCATTATTGACCAGACAGGCAGCATCAGTCCGTTGGAAGACTTCCGGCCAGGCTACCTGTGGGTGTCAGACCTCACCAAGCAACATTGGTGTGAACAGCAACTGTTGTACAGCTTCACGGTCCCTGGCGTGCTAGTGGAGGACCCCGTCATGACAAAGGGCTCCAACCTTCACCTTCAAAGAGGTATATATATATACACCGTAAACATTTCAAAATGTATCAATTCAAATTTAGCATAATCTCAATTCTATGAAAAATCTTGTTGGACAATAATAAAGTATAGACATTTTACTTGTTTTATTGATTTAATTGTAATATACAGAAATTGAAATGGATTTACATATTTGTATTAATACATAAAAAAAAAATGATCTCTTCACAGATGGGAGTATTACAAAATATATGTGTTGTTTATCATTAATCATAGATTACCGGTAAGTGTGATTTTTCTTTTGTTCTGCAGAGAATTACTTACCTAAGATATTTAAGTAGCAAATTATATTCAGTGGAAGTTTTTAATAATTCAATTAGTAGAAATACAACATCAACCTGGTATTTTGAGAATTAGAACTTGCAGAAACCTCAAACCTATAAATACATATGTTCTTCCAATTAGTAACAATGTCTATGATGCTACAGTAACTGTCTTTGAATTGATGGTCATGTTGCCTTATGTTAATTTATCATATTAAAATACATTATGACTTTTTTTATGTCATGCTACCATAAGTATTTGATTTTTCTGAAAACTGATTGTTTGTTTTTTAGAGCTGGCAGTTCATGATGTTGTCAAAGTAGACATCACATCTAGTGAAGATATATGGGCTGTGAAGATGCTGAACCTTCTAAACTCTGTGCAGGCATTCCTCAATGGATCGCCATTAGCAAGAGAGGTCCCCATATTTGGAGCTCCTTTTCAGGAAGATGTTTTTGTGGTAGGACTAATTGATGAGCTTCGATTTGACCTAGAAACCTATGCTATCGGCTTGTCAGAACTAAAAACTAGACTTTCAAGGACTAAACCTTCAAAGTCTCAGGAAAAACAGCACAGATTACAGGTCATGTTGTACAGGAAACTGTTTGACGATCTCGTTAAAGGAAATGTTACGAAGGATGTTATAGCTCGCCATCTACGACTTAAGTTGACAAAAGAGTTAGGGGAGGGTGTCCAAGGAGAACTTGGTAAGTCAGGATTGTCGTGTAAGACACTTGATTCTTTACTGGATGTTGTGTTTGGAAGGATGGCAGCAGTCACATGTATTGTTGAAACTAGTGTTGAATATGTCCACCAGGAGTCAGGGCAATCATTTCTTCATCAGGATGTTGTGTACGACGAAGAGGAACTGAAGAAGCTGTATCGTCATTACTTGGGATTCTGGCGGGGACAGAGGGCAGTAGAGGGGGTTGACATTGAGGATGCGTGGAAGTGTCAACGCTGTGACTACAAGTCCGTCTGTGAATGGAGGGAAGTAAAAGCAGCTGAATGTGCCAGAAAGAACAAATTAGGTAGAAGGTAGCTGACCTTGCCTCAGAAATATGTTGATTGATCTAAAATGCATATACTACCCAGGACTGTGATGATGTCTTTGCAAACACTTTGTTAGCTCACCTGGTATTTCACGTAAAAATATAGGGCCTGAGAGTAAAGATTGTTTTATCATATATAAAAAAAAAACCCACACAAATCTTGAATTTTTGGCCAGTATATTGACCTTTTGATTTTTACGCTTACAGAATCTCGCATCTGTGCATTTATTACATTTGGAGTCGGTTGGCAGTCATTGTCGGATACCTAGGGTCAATTGCAGCACACCGATCGTTAAATAAGCGGTTTGCAATGTACTTTCAGTAATGTTTGGCAGTCAAATCTCAAACCAAACCTGGTATTAGTGCACCTGTCTTCACTTTGCCATCATAGTACAAGTAATCAAGGTTGATATACAAACAGGGGTGTAAATTGTCACTAGCCGGACAGTTTTATGTCAGAGCTGGTTAAAATATTCAGTATTTACTATGCAAATATAAGTTGGCAATATTATTTGTCAAAATCTGCATGTGGGCTACCTCTCTAAGTATGAAAGGATAGTGTAAGGATGCCCATTTGGGCCTTCAGTTCCCAGTTTCTCAAAGGTTGGTTACATATAACCAGTGGTTGGTGAACAATTCTAATTGTTACCAATAAGAAGCAAGGGCTTTCAAAAAATAATGAAATCTTCAAAACACATCAATCTGGCTTGTCTCCACCGAACTAGCATTGAAATGATATCAGATGTTCTTGATTTTGTTATATTAATATTTCAAAATTTTCCCTAATCACTGGCTTACTCTAATCAACCTTTGAGCAACCCGGGCTGGGTGGTTATCACCAGCAACCATATTTATGATTCTGGTCCCCCACTTTAGCCCCTCATATACTAGAATGGTCACCAAGCTGATCTTAATTTCATGTCATTTCATAAGGGTAACCCCAAGGTATGTATACATGCATAAAATAAAACTTATTGGTGATAGCCACCAGGAGGCCCATATTTCTTTTAACTCTTCTGATACAATGTACCAGACTAGTAAATTTATAACAAGCTACTGCTATTTTTGCAACAATTAATTTTTAATTATGTATTTTATTACAACAGTACTGTAAGTCTAAACATCAACTTTGCAATAAAACTTGAAAAATTTGATTAAAACAGGGGTGTACATATGATTATTGCATTGGTGTCAGTCCCGGCGTGCTAGTGAAGGACCTCGTCATGACGAAGGGCTCTGACCTTCAGAGAGGTATATATATGCTTGGGTAGTAAACTTACAAAAAGTACAACTACAGAGGGAGTCACTTACTCATAACACACTTTGAAATATGTCAAAATTCAATTAAATTGCAATCATTTATGTATGGCTGGGGACTTCTGATCTTACTAAAAAGGAGGGAGAAATCATAAAAATCTCTGGGTTTTTGGCAATGAGGTGTCTCATGACATTGTGATTCATAAGTACACCCGAGCCAAGTATTCTGTCTCTACTCTACACAATACATCTCCAGAACACACACAGGCATACACACACAGGGAGATATTAGCCAGGTGGCATAGGACTAGTAGTTAGCGCCTGATAAGGCAGCTCCTGCGACTTGCTCAATATTGTATTGATTAATATATATATATGTTAATTGTATTGACTGTATAAAATTGTATATCTATATATACTGTAAAGCGCTTTAGAGTGGCTTATGTTAGCTAGATAGGGCGCTATATCAAATGTTGTATATTATTATTATTATTATTATTACTCTTCCAAGTAGGAAGAAATACCACTGATTTCAGTGGTTGATTAGAATACAAAGAAGAGTCGTCTAAAGAATGAATTTGCAGTTCAAGATTGCAAGATGAACTGTCAAGTTACCGTCCTGAAACTGAGGGACTTGATAATTTGTTACAACTATATTTGGACCCTAACTATGGTGTTCAGAGTAATTTTACACGTTTTAGGGGTTATGATCAACATTGGGGGTGGCATTTTTACCGAAAGTTTTGTCTTAACCCATGAAATTTCTCAAATTACTTAAGCACATTAGTTTAGGTCCAAATATAGCTGTAACACATTCTCAAGTCCCTGTGTCCTGAACTAGGAAATCAGTTATCAAAAATTTCAATAAAAACTTATTATTATTTTTCAAACTCTATTCAAATTGTGTGGTGTAAATTATAGACATATCTGGTGTAGGAAATATTTCCATGGCAATGACATATCAAGCAACATTAGAAACGTATAAGTTTTACACATTTTGAAAATGGTTCGTCTAATCAATATATTTTTCCCATCAAATGGTAGCTGGCTGTCTTTGTGGCTAGACTTAAATCAAATACAGGAACTCGGGGAGATACAACACAAGTGCACCTAAACCTGATTTACTGGATATCTTTGAAGAATCATTTTGAGATCTACTTCAAACAAAATTTATTGAAATGTTTATTTGCAGGTAGATTTTATTTTTTACTGTGTTTCTCATTTGAACAGTGTACAAGTACTTGAAGTTGGATATATATACGATATATTACATGTTTAGATACCTGCAATGTACATTTTACTTTATTTACATTCCACTCAGGTAGATCTGCATTGGTCCTCTCACTAGTAACATACATGTGTTGAGTTTGTTATTGCATTATAGATGTACATACAGTGTACATTAATTTGTCTGCCTTTATTATCTCATATTTATGGCGGAATAAAAATAAAAATGTGTTATCATTGTGCATTAATCATTTTATGAAATATCAACATTTATGACAGAATTCAGACATGATAAATCACACCTGACCCAGTCTGGGTCTCTGGAACACTTTTGTAGATCATAACTAACTGTATATTCTCCAGAAAAGCCTAGAAAAAGAATAATAACTAGAGACGAGAAGGAGATTTATGATCAATTTCTTCTAACCAGTCCAATAAATCTTACAGAAAGGTTATCCCTACCAGGTCTCTAAATCTTACAGAATGGTTATCCCTACCAGGTCTCTAAATCTTACAGAATGGTTATCCCTGCCAAGTGTCTAAATCTTACAGAAAGGTTATCCCTGCCATGTCTCTAAATCTTACAGAAAGGTTATCGCTACCAGGTCTCTAAATCTTACAGAAAGGTTATCCCTGCCGAGTCTCTAAATCTTACAGAAAGGTTATCGCTACCAGGTCTCTAAATCTTACAGAATAGTTATCCCTGCCAGGTGTCTAAATCTTACGGAAAGTTTATCCCTGCCAAGTCTCTAAATCTTACAGACAGGTTATCCCTGCCGAGTCTCTAAATCTTACAGACAGGTTATCTCTACCAGGTCTCTAAATCTTACAGAAAGGTTATCCCTGCCAAGTCTCTAAATTTTACAGAAAGGTTATCCCTGCCAAGTCTCTAAATCTTACAGAAAGTTTATCCCTGCCAAGTGTCTAAATCTTACAGACAGGTTATCTCTACCAGGTATCTGAATCTTACAGAACAGTTATCCCTGCCGAGTCTCTAAATCTTACAGAATGGTTATCTCTACCAGGTCTCTAAATCTTACAGAAAGGTTATCCCTGCCAAGTCTCTAAATCTTACAGACAGGTTATCCCTGCCAAATCTCTAAATCTTACAGACAGATTATCTCTACCATGTCTCTGAATCTTACAGAAAGGTTATCCCTGCCAAATCTCTAAATCTTACAGAAAGGTTATCCCTGTCAAGTCTCTAAATCTTACAGAATGGTTATCCCTGCCAAGTCTCTAAATCTTACAGAAAGGTTATCCCTGCCAAGTCTCTAAATCTTTTAGAATGGTTATCTCTACAAGGTCTCTTTATCTTACAGGAAGGTTATTCCAGTAAGGTCTCTGAATCTTACAGAAATATTATCCTTCTCAGGTCTCTAAATCTTACAGAAATATTATCCTTCTCAGATCTCTGAATGTTACCGAGAATTTATGCCTATAATTTGTTGATGGATTATGAACAATTCTTAAAAAAAGTTCAAACATTAATCACTCTTTGATTTTGAACAAATATTATGACTTATTCATTTTTTTTTTCATTGGCAAGAATGAATTGTTTTTATTGTTATTAAACATCAACAATATGATGTCACATATATAATCTAATAAAGTTCATGTTTGGCACTGACAAGCTGTTAAGGGGTACGATTTTAATTAGACTGATATAAGTTTTTCTCCTGCTCCACATTTTTACTTTTGATCAACCTATTACCTGTACATTGAATAATTCCTTAGATGTATTTTAAAGCAGCTTAAATCTTCATATCTACTCAGTAATAACTATATTCCCAATTTGAATCTACATTTTCTATTTTACAATAGAGAAATGGTCAAACATGACAAAATGGAATTATCGATTGCCGATCCATGCTATGATATAGATGTAGCAATTTACCCAACAACTATAATGAAGATCTATATTTGTTCAATACGAAATATGACAGATCCCCTAATCATCCATTGGTAAGGTAATTTTATCTATGTCCCTCTGTGATAGACGGCCACGGCTCTGACAGGGATTGATCTAAAGACTCCAGGTGATGTGTCAACACACAGATCCACTTGTGAGAAGTGGTAAATACGTACTGGAGTATTGATTATGCTACGTTTGAGTCGTTCAGTGTTAGAGACAGTTATCAGCTGAAGTTCTTAGGGTGGAGAGGTACGGTATGTACTGGGGTAGTGATAGTAAGTATGTGGCATGGGATAGGAGCGTTTGGTGATGTCCCGTTTGGTATTTGAGTGCGTAACTAGACTACTGCACACATGTGAGCGCCCTTTTTTATCTGAGTTAGGCCTATATGTGACTAAATAATGGGAGCTGCGCGTCTTCAGAAAGCCATACAATGTTACCTCTTAATATAAGCTTGCAAAACTGAAGTGCAACCGTTATAATTTCTTATGTCCGGCTGTAAACAAGGCCTACGGGAGACCACAGGGACCTTGGAATTGGTTACAGCTACATTTGGACCTAAATTAAGGTTATCGGAGTATTTTTAAATGTTTCAGGGGGTTATATCAACTTTCGGTAAAACTGCCGGCCCAGCTATGTCCAAATATAGCTGTAACAATCAGATCCATGTGGCGCTAAGACCAAGTTGGGTTCTGCTGCACTAGTATACAGTGAATACGTTACTGTGTTAATAACAAATTATTCTGTGATCCCATTTCCCTTGTTTCACGGCAAGTCGGAATACTTCACATTGCAATTCACAGCAAACCCTCTTAATTGGTGTTTTATCTCTGGCCCTGAAAAATGCCAAGGCCATTGATATAGTATAGTTGTCGTCGTTCCTATACCAGATACTACAACATTGAATAAAAGGTTTCCTACAAGGAACTGGAAATTACGAACACCTTGATCATTGATCTGATAGATCCTCTCACCTTGAAATCGTGAAAAGCCACTGACAACGTCTCATAAACACGCACATAAAAATCTGAGGTATTCAGTACAGTTGGCCTATATAGCTAGCAATGTGCACAGGTGTCTAAAACAACTAACAATTTCCTCCTTATTATTTCTCTGCCCCATCGAATTTTTTTACGGACATTTTTTTAAAAGGAATATTGTCCATTATTTCTGGCTGTGTCCACGGTGGATATTCAGTGGTCACGCTATTCAATGAAAGCGGATTTTCAATGCGAAATACAAAGAATTACAGAAAACCAGCCGGGAATTTTATTTTATTTCAAATTGAGCGGTATTTCAATGTATCGGAGTTTAATGAAAGTGGAATATATAATGGAGATAATAGGTAGAGTTATAACATTTAAGAAAAGATCTCTTGGCAAATCTAATATTAGCAAACCTTTATTCCAGACATTTTAACGCAACACCCAAAGCGACTACGTCTCTTTCTCATGATAACCTATAAGACCAGCGTAGTAGGCTCCCTTGTTTACATGATATGTGTCTTGTTTAAATAAGAATTAACTTTATAAGTTTGCATTTGTTCATCTAGCGACAGCAGGGGAAATTGTTGATATATAATCATCCGATATCGAGACGTTACTGGGAAATGTGCATCTAATTAACTTAAATGCTTAATGGAAAAAAATGGAAAACACGTAAATTGACGAAAACTATTTTTTGGGGGTATATTTTCATCTTTTTTCCCCCTAAAAATCCGCAATCTATCTGAATGCTTAGATTATTTTATAAAATCTCTTCTACGTAGTTGCCTAACCATTATATGACTATTTCAACGAACTCTGCCGGCGAAAGGATGGAGCCTCCTTCACCGGTCGTCTGTTACCCGGTATAACCATGGGCCAGTTACCTCCCCTGTTGCACTGTGATCACTATAGGTTATACGACTCGAGGCAGACTTATGAATTGATTAGTCACAGATTACTACTAATTACTAAGCCTCCATCAAGTTGTCAGAATTCCTGTTAATGAAACACTTCATTAGGAGGAAGACGTTGAAACCGTGTTTCTGTCAGCCTCCTGACCGAGACATGTTGACAGACATTGACTCACCATACGTCTTTTCATCTAAAAGTTGATGTTAGGACGGGTGTGAATCTCGACCCATTTACGAAAAGTCACAATAGCTTGGGTCTATAGTTGTACATGTA